TGCTGTTGAGTTTTCATCTCAAGAATTTAATGATTATTGCTTATCAATTGGGATAAAAGTGGAATATCCTGTAGCTCATGTTCATACTCAAAATGGTCTTGCAGAGTCTTTAATTAAACGTCTGCGATTGATAGCAAGACCGTTACTCATGAAAACGAGGCTGCCCACTTCTGTTTGGGGTCACGCCATTTTGCATGCAGCAATGCTAGTTCGTCTCAGACCGACAAATTATCATAAATATTCCCCGTTGCAATTAGTTTTGGGTCATGAACCTAATATATCCCATTTAAGAATTTTTGGATGCGCAGTATATGTGCCTGTAGCACCGCCATATCGTACCAAAATGGGTCCGCAAAGAAGGTTAGGAATATATGTTGGGTTTGAATCGCCCTCCATAATTCGCTACCTCGAAACATTGACGGGGGATTTGTTTACTGCACGATTTGCAGACTATCGATTCGATGAGACACTTTTCCCAAAATTAGGGGGAGAAGTTGGTGAAACCAAAGAAATTTTGTGGAAAAATCCATCATTATCTCATCTTGATCCACGTGCCTCTATTTGTGAAAAAGAGGTGCAAAAGATTATTCATTTGCAGAGAATAGCAAATCAAATGCCAGATGCATTTACGGATTTGAAAAGGATAACAAAATCCCATATCCCTGCAGAGAATGTTCCAACCGTATTGATGTCCCTATTGGACAATCTTCTAGTGTCATAGCTAATGAGTCGAAAGCACGCCTAAAACGTGGCAGACCATTGGGTTCCAAAGATCGAAATCCTAGAAAAAGGAAAACAAATGATCAAAATGACACTACGAAAGAATCTCATGAAGAAATCCACGATTTAATAAATTTTGAGATTCATGAGGAATCCACTGAACCTGAGACTCAAGAAAATAAGGAACTATCAATAAATCCAATCGATATTGAGACAAATTTGAATCGAGTGGATATAGTGGTGGATTATGTCTTTGCATATAGTGTTGAATCTAGCATTATGCAAGAAAGTGAGGATCTTGAACCTCAATCTGTTGGAGAATGTCGACAAAGACTTGATTGGCCAAAATGACAAGAAGCAATCCAATCAGAGTTGAATTCACTTGCAAAACGTGAAGTTTTTGGGCCTGTAGTCCAAACACCTAATGGTGTTAAGCCTGTTGGCTATAAATGGGTCTTTGTACGCAAGAGAAATGAGAAAAACGAGGTACAAAGATATAAGGCACGCCTTGTTGCACAAGGATTTTCACAAAGGCCTAGTGTCGATTATGAAGAGACATATTTGTCACACCTCCTTTTTCTTACACCCGCAAGGGCATAAAGGAGTTTTTCCACTTAAAGGACAATCGGAACGGGATTTATTATTAAGATTTCAGAGTCGCCACTTGGGAGATTAATGGTGTCCCAAGTCACCGGTTGAATCCCGAACCGAGGAAATTATGACTTTGTTAACAGTCCGCGAACCAGAAATCCGAGTAAGAAATTCTGTTAACCCGGGAGAAGGTGTTAGGCATTCCCTGGTTTCGTGGTTCTAGCACGGTCGCTCAACTGTCATATTTGGCTTACATGTTTTAGCTTATGCTTTTTAAACTTTGAAACGCTTTTATTATGATTATTTTAAGAGAATTGCAACGTCGTGAAAACACGTCTCGAATCGCGTCACATAAATGCACCCGCGATTTTTGACACATTTCGACTTCGTTGGGACTTGGATTTGGGTCACATAAATGTGCACCCGTATTTAGGAAGGTAAAATTATTTAAAATACGCGCCTGAAGTAGCTAGCGTGTTATTAGCTTTGGGGGAAAACCGTAAAATTCGCTAAACGGCCCATCCCGAATCCTAAATATTTTTATGTATACATTCCGCAATTTATGTATTTTTGTTTAGCGAGGCTCATCTCATTCATTATTTAAAGGTCCAACCTAAAAGGATTATGTTTTCCTAAATGCTAAAATTTAGTAACTTGGTGAATGTCCATCAGGGCCAGTTAGTGAGGCCCCAAATTGAAGATCTCATATTGCTAAAACTTCTGGGCCTGCTTATTGAGGGGATTAGGCCCAAGGCATGTTGCTGCACGAATTTCAGCCATGGAGCTGATTATTTCCAACTAGGCCTGGCATTTGAGCCCAGTGATACAAAAGAAGAATCCAATTGTAAACTGTCTAAATTCTATAATTCAAACTAGCTAAGCGGATAATTCAAAGCACTTTGCAATTCGAATTTGTTCTGAATTGAACGCCTATACAGACAACAGATAGGTGACCAAAACGCAATCACGTTAAGTGAATATGATTATCTCGAGTTCAGATTCATGAAACACTGATAGATTCATAAACTTTGTGACATGAAATTCGAACAGAACCAGCATTACACACATTAACTTCTGTTTCCAATTAACACCTATTAATATTGGCATTGAGCCTAAATTGATTTGAATCTAGCAGTTCTAACTACGTTTATATAAGCATGAAATAAATTAGGAATCATGTTTAATATCTCATACAGTCCAAACAGTCCGTGTTATTTACAGTGAAGTACTAAAATATTGACAGTGAATGAGATCTGTAATGTGCATGCTTCAACTCATTTTCATCTTAACTTGCAACCTACACAGTAATGACCTCAGGAAGTGTACCTGAAAGTGGAAATTGAATAAGAAGAACGAGAGGTCAACAACAGCGAGCAGGTAATCAGAAGCAGCCCAGAAATATTTTGAATCAAATAGGACTAGTAGATCAACCCAAAACAACACAAAAATAGCCAAAACTGAACCCAGTAAATCAACACACTCAGCAGACAATCCACAGCTAACTCGAACAAATCAGATCCAATGCGCAAGTGACTTTAGATACTTTCAAATCTCAAATATCGAACAGAACCAGGGAAATTCAAGTAGTTTTGGATCCTAAATAAGCCTGCGAGTTGAATTAAATGCTAGATTCGAAAATGACCTAAGGAAATCTATGTAACAGTATTTTGGGATTTTTTTTTTTGGAAGATTTTCTGTTGTTTTTGGATTTTTAGATCTAGGAGGGACTTTGAAATTCAGATGTAACAGTATTTTTGGGATTTTTTTGGAAGGTTTTCTGTTATTTTTGGATTTTCAGATGTTCAAAAACTTCTTTTGAATTTTCAGGCGTGTGAAACTTATCAATGAAGGCAAAGGGGGCTGCCTTTTATAGGCAAATTTCAGGGGGGAAGCTTCTAGATTTCACTCACACTTTTTCCTCCTCTTTTATTTTCAGATTTTATTCCTTAGTCCTAAAGTCTTGACCTGCCTAAGTTATTACCCTAAGTTATTAATATTCCAACTACAGTCCTAGTCTAGAAGGTCATAGAAGGTTCTAGCTTCCTAAATTGCCCCTGAAATTTCCTGAAACTACCAAGTCTAGTCAAATTAATCCAGCCTTTTATCCTAGTTAGACTAACCATGGTTAATTAACTATGAACTAGAAACTACTCAGCTATAACCAAACAACAATTAAAAATTGAACTAACTAAACAATTCAACTAATCATGAAATTAAATCTAAGAATCAATAAACTGACAATTAATGGCAATTGAAACTAAAATCAGATTATTAGCAGCAATCATGGATTATTTAATCAAAACCAAACACAAAATCAAACTAGAAAAAATCAAAACATAACAAAATTAAACCAAAAACTAAAACGAAAAAAGAATCAATTAAAACCCTACAATTTCTAAATCAATTAATCATGAAGGACAGTTAGTCAAGCCTAAACAAAGCCCTAAATTAGTCCAAAGCTAGTTGACTCGTTGAAGGAACACAAACTGATCAAACAAATAACATAATCAAAGAAGAGATGGAGGAATAGACGAAATTACACCAAAAAAAACGAGATAGAGGAAATACCTAACGAAATGACCGGACAGAAATCAGCAAGGATCTTCAGCATGTCATGTCATGTCCTGATTCAATCTGAGGCTATTCATGTGTTTTTAACCAAAAACACATAGATAACCTCAGAACGGAACCAAAACCTTGACGAGACTTCAACTGGAAATTTTTGGATTTTAGGGTTAACTAAATTCGAGATCCNGGCAAAGGGGGCCTCAGGGTATTGATTTGGGAGTGGTTGAGGGCGGCGCCGCCAACTTGAGGTGGTGGAGTTTAGGGGCGGCAGGCTAGGGCTTCCATAATCTGAGGCGATATAAGGGGATTTTGGGAAAACAGAGTGTGGTATGGGTATGGGGGAGGGAAGGTGAGGTTGTGGTGTGAATTTGGGCCTGATTGGCCGCCGGCCGCCGCCGTGGGCGATTTCCGGCGGGCGGTGCACGGTGGCCCAAGGCGGCGTTATATCTGAGTGTGTGAAGGTTGTGAGAGATGGCTTGGGAGGTAGGGGGAGGTTAAGACACTTATATATCAAATGTTCCCATAGTTCTGAGCCGTAGGATCATCCAACCTCGACGGCTCAGATTGAATTGATCCAAACTGCGTCGTTTGGTTGGGGTATGGGAAAAGGACCAGACTGGGGCGTTTGGGCTTTGGACCAGGGTGGTTGAGATTGGGGCTGGGTCAATTAAAATCACAGGAGGTCCAATTTGTGGGTCTTTTTCAAATAACTCAATTCTTTGAATTTCTTTTCTCTTTTTTTTCTTTTTCAAATTAAAACCTAAATCCAAATTAGCTTTTAATAAAATTATCCTACCAAATTGATTAGCTCTAAATGACAATTACCACTGATAATTAAATACCAAAATAAAAGAAAGACTACTAAAATTCCAAAATAAAACTAGAGGGAAAAGTAAACTATTGTTGTGATGATTTTTTTATTTTTTGTAAACTCCTAATTACTGATTAATTCCAAAAATATGTAAAATTAAACCCTAAATGCAATGCATATATTTTGTATTTTATATGAGTTAAAATGCACAGATAAAAATGAAAACAATTAATACAAAACGTTAACACAAAAATATGGCCAAATGGCCCTTATAAATTTTGTCATTCATTTAAAAAAAAAACTCAAAACAGTAAAATCTTTTCTATAATCCGAGAGAGATTGAGAGAGAAACTGAGAAAGAGAGGTATACACAGTGAACCGTGGAGAAGTATTTTTCCACTGTTGCAAACGTTAATAGCAAAATAGCTAAATGGTAATGCTCATCAGATTCAGAGGCAAAGCAGCTCTAGCTCTATTCGCTCACAGTTCCATATTTCACTGCAATGGCTTTGGACACCTCCTTTCCTTATACTGTTTCAGATCTCAATTTCTCTACTCAACAACCTCTACCCGTAATCGTATCTCAACCCATTTCTTGATTAAATACCTGGTTGATTCTCTAGGGTTCTCAAGAAAAGAAGCAATTTCTACGTCTTCCAAGCTAACTCCACAGAAAACCATAAAAAATCCCGATTTACTCCTCAATTTCTTGATACAAACCGGTTTTGACGAGACCCAGATTAAAAAATTGGTTTTTCGAGCACCCAGATTGCTATACCGTGATGTTTCCAGAACCCTAATACCCAAACGCCAGTGCCTTGTGGATCTCGGGTTATCCGGGTCGGACCTGGTGAGTGTAATTGCAAAAGATCCTAATATTTTTGAGAGAAGTTTCGATACTCATTTAAGACCTACCATTGGTTGTCTTAGGAGAATTTTGGGTAGCGATGAAGATGTTGTTAAGGCTATAAAGAGAGCTGTTTGGTTGCTCTCTTTTGGTACCCATCATATTATGGAGACTAATGTTTTGTTGTTGAGAAACTATGGTTTTTCTGATTTGATGATAAAAAAATTTGTGCTTAGAAATCCTAATTCTATTACACAAAAGTCTGAGTGGTTTAAGGATTTGTTGCATAGAGTGGAGAAGGATTTCCAAGTTACGCCTGACTCCGCTACTTTTCTACATGGATTTCGTGCGTTAGCCAGTCAAAAGAAATCTACGCTGGAAAAGAAGATTGGATGGTCTGATGATCATATATGTTCAGGAAGCTACCTCATTGTGTTGCTTTCTCAGAGGTTAAAATTGAGAAAGCATTGAATCTTTACATGAAGGAGCTCAGTTTTGAACCTTCTTACTTGGCTTCTCGTCCTGCATTGTTGGCCTGTAGTATGGAGAAAAATTTTGGATGAAAAGAAGCTTGAGAGGAGAAAGTGGGCTCTTTATCCTGTGCTGATGTTAACGGAGTCGAAGTTCATAGACTATTTTGTGCTACCCCTACAAGGATCAGATACCTGATCTGTATGAATCGTACAAAAACTTGTGGCTCCTTAGTTGCTCGAAGATATTCACTTTATATATATTTAACTTATTTTTTACTTTCACTTTTATTTTATTTGATATGATGATGATATGAGTTGAGCTTAAAGAAAGAACTGAGGTTTCATATAGCCGACTCCAACTTGTTTAGGCCTAAGGCGTAGTTGTTGTGTTGGCTCGAAAATGTCCTGTTCATTTTGCATTATTTGATATTGGTTAGTTCTGAAAAGCGAGAAACCAGAAAATGGGAGGTTCTATGTTATCCATTAATTACGGGTGCGGGTGACTCCTCTACCTATTGCATAGGTCCGCTTCCGGTACAAATTGTGTAAAATTTAGGGCGACTCGAAGAAATGGTCCTGAGAGTGGAAATAGGTTGATATCTCTCTCCAGTTGGACTTGTGGTCTATGGAATGGAACTGCTGCTTTGCTTAGTAAGAGTCTTTGTGGACATGATCATTACGAGTTTTGGCTCAACTTGGATATCTTCCCCAGAGACAGCTTTCTCATCTCAGCTTATACAGGTTTGGTTTGGACAAAAGAATGGTTCCTAGAATCAAAATTTATTCAGAACTTTGAGCTGGATTTATGAGGATAAAATTCCTGGTCTCTTTATGAATTCTATACAAAAAATGTAGGATAACACCATAACTCGAGAGCCTCTTTTAAACAAGGTGTATTTATTTCCCCAATCAGTGGTTATCAAAAAAAAATCCCCAATCCGTATTGTTGCATTTGTGCCTTCTTTTTCCAAACTATCTGATTAGTTGTAGCGTTGTCAAAGGTGCGTTTAAAACACGCTTTTGTGGGCGTTTCAGTGTCGTATCAAGGTTCTAAGGTATACTTTTCCTTGCCAATGAGTGTAATCGTGAAAAGATGACACTAAACAATTGATATTTCACTTTATCGTAATTTTTTCAATTTCTTTGTTCATATATTGGTCTTGGACTGCATATACATATTTTTACTTTTTCTCAAGTTGTGCCTTTTTTCATTATAGCCCACACGTTATTTGTTTTGAGATTTTCAGCTCCTATAATTCTCATTTTTAATATCTTTTGGTGTTTCCATCCATCATCGACTCTAAATCAATTACGTATATGTTTCAAATATAAAATTTTGTGTAGGGAAGAGTCATGCCTCATGAATTTAGAATTTTAGATAAAGTATACTTCATTGGATAGAAAGATCAGAAGTTTCAAGAGTTTTGGATGGTCGGATAATGAAATACGCGACATATTCAGGAAACTTTGTATTGCTTTCTCAAAGGTTAGTATTAAGAAAGCATTGAATCTTTACATGAAGGAGCTCAGTTTCGAACTTGCTTACTTGGCTTCTCATCCTGCAGTTTTGGCTTATAGTATGGAGAAAAGGGTGGTACCAAGGTATTCTTTCAATTTGCAACTTTAATTTTGATCAAATCACCCAAAATCTGCTATAAATGATCTCAAATTTAAAATAAAGCTTTCCAGTTTCAAATACCAACACAAATAATCCTCAATCACCAATTTAGTTTAATAATACCAAATAAAAAAAAGATCCACCTTAACCCTCAGGGGTTGGCTTGGTGGCAATTGACTTGAGCCTTGGAGTTTGCTCCCTTTCAAGGTCTCTAGTTCGAAACCCACTGGGTGCAAACAATTTCTGAGGGCCATCGGACTGGGTAAAACCTGACTTAACCGTGGTGCACTTGCGGGAAACTCCTTGCCGAGGGCCTGTGCACCCCCGGGATTAGTCGGGGCTAAGAGACTCGGACACCCGGTGCAAATAAAAAACAAAAAAAAGGATCCACCTTCTCTTTTTCAACACTTTCTAAGATCCAACAATGAAGTTTTAAATTTTTTACAGTAAATTACTAAATCGGTGTTTAAACTAAAAATTTTAACATAAGTTTTCAACATTTGTGATAGGATGATGATATGAGCTGAGCTTAAAGAAAGAAGTGAGGTTTCATATAGCTGACTCCAACTTGTTTGGGCTTGAGGCGTAATTATTGTGTTGGCTCAAAAATGTCCTGTTCATTTTGCATTATTTGATAATATACCTAATTGGTTAGTTCTGAAAAGTGAGAAACCAGAAAATGGGAGGTTCTATATTATCCATTAATTAAGTAGAAAAGCAAGTGAATTAATTACGGTCGGAAAAACATTATTTTACAATGGTGATATATATGCCAGGTTATATGATTGTCTCTATAATGCTTTTTCCTGGTTATCTTGCTGAAATGAGAGGAAACTAAACTACGCTATCTGATATCTTACAATGCTGCCTTATTGAGTTTGTCATGGGTTTTATAATTTATTCTACCAATATGTTATACGTTTGTAGTTCAAATTGATTTGATTGCGAAAGAACTATATTGTCTTTACAAAATAATGGTTTTCCAAGTGATCAAATTGAGAAGCACATACTCAATAAGGAGGATACAAATTGTGTAAAATTCAGGGCGACCGGAGGAAATGGTCCTGAGAGTGGAAATAGCTGAGATGAACTGCTGCTTTGCTTAGTAAGGGTTTTCATGGACATAGCTGAGATGAACTGCTGAGATGAACTGCTGCTTTGCTTAGTAAGGGTTTTCATGGACATGATCATTACGAGTTTTGGCTCAACTTGGGTATCTTCCCCAGAGACAGCTTTCTCATCTCAGCTTATAGAGGTTTAGTTTGGACAAAAGAATGGTTCCTAGAATCAAAATTTATTCAGAACTCAGAGCTGGTTTTATGAGGATAAAATTCCTGGTCTCTCTATGAATTCTATACAAAAAGTGTAGGATGACACAATAACTTGAGAGCATCTTTTAAACAAAGCGTATGTATTTCCCCAGTCAGTATTGTTGCATTTCCAGACCCTACTTGTGGGAACTCACTCGGTTTTTTATTGTTGTAGTATTATTGCATTTGTGCCTTCTTTTTCCTAACTATCTGATTATTTGTCTTGAACATCAGGCGGCATTCATGCTGTTGGCTGAATTAAGAGTACCATATTTACATGTGGAAATGATCATATTTCAACACCAGTTAGCAATGTGTTCTAGCTCTGTACAAGGCAGGTTCAAAGTTTACAATTTGCACCACGGGTCAGCTTATTTCTTTGCTAGTCGCTGCAAGCCCCCTTCTTAGCATTACTTGTCAATTTTCAGTATGTTATATTCAGTGTTTTCTCCTTCTTATAATTATTAAAAGGTAGCTCTGGCTATTTCTTTGCTTTAGATAAAGAGAATGAGAGATACCCCTTGAGTATCTTTAACCATAATGCTATCTCTTTAGCTTTCTTGATTCCAACCTAAAAGAACAGTTTCTTTAGAAATTCTTTCTCTCTGGTGCATGACAAAAGAAAGTATTACTACTATTTCTTTCTTCTATCTCATCTGAATTTTATCTTGTACCATTTTGCATGAGTCGTTAGCTGTGACACTCTACTGCCATATGGAGAAGTGTAAATAGGCAACATATGAGCTGCTTTTTTGAGATCAGTTGGACTGCATTCTGCAGTGCATTGCTGAAAGAAGGGCAAGTTCTGTACACAGTACACCAGAAACCGTAGTGAGACACGTCCAAGAATGTCTACTGTAGAGGTGCTACGAAGCCTATAGCTTGTTTAGCCAAGCTTCTAAAATCTGTTTATTTTGAAAAGTGCTTTATTCAAGAGTGGTGCGCTTGGCTAATCAATTCGAAAAGCACTTTTGAGCAGTGATTAGTGTTTGGCTAATCAATTTGAAAATCACTTTTGGACAGTAATTAGTGTTTGGTCAAGCTAATGTATTTTTCTCAAAAGTGCTTATCAAAAAAGTATTTCTGGGGAGAAATTACTTTTTTTTTTTTTCTCATAAACTGTTTTTGCTTCTACTCAAAAGCACTTTTTTTTGTTCAAAAAGCTTGGCCAAACACCTAAACTTTGAAGAGAAAAAAAATGCACTTTTGTCCAAAACTAAAGCTTGGCCAAACAGGCTAGCTTGAAGCAGGGGGAGTTTAGGCGAAGTGAAATATACCGTGTCTGCAGATTTGCAGATTTGGGGCCACATGTCCAAATCATGTTTTTTTGGCTATGTACATAATAATATACTTTGATAAATGAAAATTATTTAGTTACCAAAGAAAAGTCAATTTAAAAGATAAATTGTCCTTAAAGTGGGATTAGTAACCTAAAAAAGGTGTTACTTGCTGCATCATATCATCATCATTACACTATATTGAGTGTTATAAATAGAATTTTATTTAAGGTGAATATTTATATTTAGAGAGATTTTAGGGACTATTACGTGGTGGCTAAGTCACTCTTTCCCTATAAAGAGAGAGGTTCTATTCCATTGTAATTTATCCCAAATTAATAAGAATTCTTTCTCTCTTATTTTTTCATTACACGTTATCAGCACGAGACTCGACCATCTAAAGAAGCTCTTTGAGAAGACTAAGCAAATATGGATATCTCACAAAGTAAACTTGGAACAAAGTTTAATTGTAAAAATATATGTTTAATTGACTCATGTACGACACATACTATCTTCAAAGAGAAGAAATATTTCTCTCATTTAAGTATGTGTAAGGCATATGTTACTGCAATTTCTGGTAATAGTAATCTAATTGAAGGCTTTCGAAGAGCTACTATAACTCTGCCTATGGGAACAACGCTTATCATAGATAATGCAATATTCTCCTCCAAGTCCAAGAGGAACTTGTTGAGCTTTAAAGAGATTTGCCGAAATGGATACCATATTGAAAAAATAGATGAGAATAATCTTGAATTTCTCATAATTACCAAAAATGTCTCTGGCCAGAAGAGGGTTATTGAGAAGTTCTCATCTTTATCTTGTGGCCTGTATTGGACAAAATTAGTGCAATTGAGGCACATTCTATCGTAAACCAAAAGGTTATTAAATTCAATACTTTTGTACTTTGGCATGATCAATTGGGACATACCTGGATCAATTATGATGAGACGGATTATAGAAAACCCAAATGGACATCCATTAAAGAATTTAAAAATTCTTTTAAATAATGAATTTCTTGCACTTCTTGTTATCAAGGCAAGTTAATTATTAGACCATCACCAACAAAGCTCGGGATTGAGTCCCTTGCGTTTTTGGAACGTATATACGGGGATATTTGTAGACCTATTCATCCACCTAGTAGGTCGTTGGATATCTTATGGTCTTAATAGATAAATCTTCTAGATGGTCTCATGTGTGCCTATTGTCATCTCACAACCTCGCGTTTGCAAAATTAATGGCACAAATAATTTGATTACGGGCATAATTTCCCGATAATCCAATTAAGTCTATTCGACTTGATAATGCTGCTGACTTTTCATCCCAAATATTTAATGATTATTGCTTATCAATTGGGATAAAAGTGAAACATCATGCAGCTCATGTTCACACTCAAAATGGCTTGCAGAATCTCTGATTAAATATCTGCAATTAATAGCAAGACTGTTACTTATAAAAACGAGATTGCCCACTTCTGTTTGGGGTCATGCCATTTTGTATGCAGCAATACTAGTTCGCCTCAAACCGATAAATTATCATAAATATTATCCGTTGCAATTAGTTGTGTGTCATGAACCTAACATATCCCATTTAAGAATTTTTGGATACGCAATGTATGTGCCAGTAGCACCGCCATTTCGCACCAAAATGGGTCCCCAAAGAAGGTTAGGAATATATGTTGGATTTGAATCACCCTTCATTATTCGCTACCTCGAAACATTAACGGGGGATTGTTCACTGCTCGATTTGCATATTGTCGATTCGATAACACTTTTCCCAAAATTAGAGGGAGAAAATGATGAAACCAAACGGAAAATTTTGTGGAAAAGTCCATCATTGTCTCATCTTGATCCACATGTCTCTATTTGTGGAAAAGAGGTGTAAAAGATCATTCATTTACAGAGAATAGCAAATCAAATGCCAGATGCATTTACAGATCTGACAGGATAACAAAATCACATATCCCTGCAGAGAATGTTTCAATTCGTATTGATGTTCCCGTTAGACAATCTTCTAGTGTCATAACTAATGACTCAAAAGCACGCCTAAAACGTGGCAGACCATTGGGTTGTAAGGATCGGAATCCTAGAAAGGGAAAACAAATGATTAAGATGACACTACGAAAGAGTCTCATGAAGAAATCTACGATTTAACCAATCCCGAGATTCACGAGGAAATCACTGAGCCCGACTCAAGAAAACAAGGAACTATCAATAAATCCAATCAATATTGAGACAGATTTTGAATCGACTAGATATAGTGGTGGATTATGTCTTTGCATATAATGTTGCATCTAGCATTATGAAAGATATTGAGGATCTTGAACCTCAATCTATTGGAGAATGTCGACAAAGGCGTGCTTAGCCAAAATGGCAAGAAACAATCCAATTTGAGTTGGATTCACTTGCGAAACGTGAAGTTTTTGGGCCTGTAGTCCAAACACCTAATGGTGTTAAGCTTGTTGGCTAAATGGGTCTTTGTACGTAAGAGAAATGAGAAAAATGAGGTACAAAGATATAAAGAACGCCTTATTGCACAAGAATTTTTACAAAGGCCCGGTATCGATTATGAAGAGACATATTCCCCTGTATAGATGCAATAATATTTCGTTATCTCATTAGTTTTGCTGTCCATGAAAAGCTTGACATGTATTTAATGGATATGGTTACAGCCTACCTTTGTGGATCACTCGATAATGAGATATACATGAAAATTTTCGAGGGATTTAAAATGCCTGTCGCATATAATTCGAAGTCTCAGGAAATATTTTCAATCAAATTGCAAAGATCTTTGTATGGTCTAAAGCAATCAGGACGAGTGTGGTATAACTGTCTTAGTGAGTATTTATTAAAGGAAGGTTATATAAATGATGCCATTTGTCCATGTATTTTTATAAAGAAAACAACATCGGAATTTATTGTACTTGCCGTATATGTCGATGACATAAACTTTATTGGAACTCCTACAGAACTCCAAAATTTGCAAATTTAATATTTGGCAAACGGGCTACACAGAAAAGGTATTGAAACGGTTTTACATGGATGGATAGGAAGATTGCGATGTTCAAGAGTTTTGGATGGTCTGATGATGAAATACTCGAGTTATTCAGGAAGCTACCGCTTTGTATTGCTCTCTCAGAGGTTAGAATTGAGAAAGCATTGAATCTTTACATGAAGGAGCTCAGTTTTGAACCTTCTTACTTGGCTTCTCGTCCTGCATTTTTGGCCTATAGTCTGGAGAAAAGGGTGATACCTCGGATGCAAGTTTTGAAAATTTTGGATGAAAAGAAGCTTGAGAGGAGAAAGGTGAGTCTCTATTATGTTCTGACCTTAACAGAGTCAAAGTTCATAGACTATTTCGTGCCGCCCTACAAGGATCAGATACCCGATCTGTATGAATTGCACGAAAAAACTGTAGCTCCTTAACAGTTTTGGTTTACTTTTGGCACTTAAGGTGCTGAGATCTTTCTAAAATTGTAAGTAGTAGTTCAATAATTTTGTGCTTTTCTTTTTTCAGTTTATATTCTAAAAAGCCACAGACGGTGTTGCCAAAATTCATTCCTGGAATTGGGGCATAGTTTACTGAAACACCTTCCTCGTATATACAAGTTTCAACTGCTCTGAGCTATATGCAAGTTTGTTCCAGAAGATAAAGTTAAATACTTTTTCTGTTGATTAATTCATTGGAAAGTTCTTTTATCTTGTCTGAGTTTGATCCTGTAACATTTTGCACGAGTGGTTTAGTAATCTATCCATTTAAAAGGTCTTGATTGCAGGTTAGTCCCTTATCTTTTTACATCTAAAGAAATTTTATTGTATCTTGCTTGCTTTTAGTATGTGTCTTATCTTTAATGTGAAAATGTTTTTTCAATTTCATACTTTCTAGTCCTTGAGATGATTTAGTACTCCTACTTACCCTGTTATGTAACAACAGCAACAACATAGTAAAAATTCCATTAGTGGGGTCTGGGGAGGATAGAGTGTACGCAGACCTTAACTTTACCCCGAAAGGGTAGAGAAGTTACCCTGTTATGTACGTACGTAAAAAAAAAAAAAAACTCTTATTTGGCCTTGGAAGCTTATGGTTTAGGAGAATCACAACCTCATTATTTGAGGTATGTCTCTCTAGAATGGAGATTAGAGTCGGGGAAAACAACACATTGTTTAGGGGTCGCTTGGTAGCCGGTTAGGGGAAAAGTTATTCATGTATTAGGGGTAACATAACTTATACCATGTTTGGTAGCCATTAGTTATTTTGTAAAAAATTCAGCATAACTAATACCATGTTTGGTTGGCATTTTACAATTCTACATAAATAATACATGTATAAGTTATGAGTCAATCTGTGTGTTATTTTATGCGGGGGAGAAGATGGAATAACTAATACATGTATTAGTAATACATGGATAAAATACTGAAATGACAAATTCACCCCTATCAATTTACAAATCATTGCCATTTTCTCCAGCAAACTTTTCATTGTTCGTTTTCTACCGCAAATAACAATCTTGTACTATGATATTTTTGAATTACTAAATAAAGTGTGTAACAATATAGCAAGAAATTCAACCAAAATCCAAGAAAGAATTATATACACTACAATTAGCATGACCTTTTTTTTGAATTTCACGTGCACTACTCAAGGACTAATCCTTGCATAACTAATGCATGCATAAGTAATCCCTGCATTACTTATTCTTGCATAACGAATACATACATAACTAATACCTGCATAACTAATACATGTATAACTAATACCTGCATAACTTTAACCGGCAACCAAACGACCCCTAAGGACAAAGCTAGTGAGAACTTCAATTATTTTATTAAGTACCACCTATTTCTCACCAGTGCAAATATCGAGTATTTTGCCTGCAAAGTTTAAGTATATAGAAAGAAATCATCTAACTTGTGCAGATACACGCCGCACAAGGCTCAAGTATATGTAAAAGAAATCATCTAATGTTTTTTTGGAAGCAATAGGTTTTTCCTAAATCCAAAAAGCAGTCCATCAAACTAAACCAATTCATCAACAACCAAGTATGGACTTTCCAAACCACATGGTAAGTTGATGTCCACTTCCAATTAAAATGGTAATCGCCTAATTATGAGCTAAGTTGATGGCTATTCTACTGTAAGCTGAGACAATACCTACTTTTATTTTCTAAAATTATGACTCAAATATCCTAGAGTTGTATAAAATATATGGAAGCTTTAGTACGTAAAATATCTTTATATATATATAAACCCTTAAAATCAAAGATAAATCCTTGAAAAGAGTTGATAAATTGCAGAAGAACGAAATTGGGTTGTGAAACATTTAGACAATAGCATCCACTATTTTTGTTCGAACTATACATATAAAAAGAGGTGAAATCCCTTTTATATTTGTCTCGGGTCCCAGGGCTTTGGTTCAGGGGTAAGGACGGTGCTTCAAAATTCCATACTCGATTGTCTTTGGTACTTTAAATTTATGGTGATCGTTGGAAGCGTTCTTTAAAATTCTGATACAGAGCTATTTTTTTAAAACTTTTCTTAACGAGGTCAACATATAAACAATGGTGTAAAAAAAAGTCCATCTGGCATATTTATTCCATTTCCCAGACTACGGATACCCACACGAAATGTCTCATGTAAGAATTGGAGAAAGATAAACTCAGTATGCTTTGCTTATCAATAAATAAATAAATAAAATACAAGTAATTAAAATGGCTAATTAGCAAGATTTTGACAACGTTTCAATTGGAGTAATTGTGGTCAACGCTTTTTATGTTCACATTGAGATCACATTAGGGACATGATATCCATTAACTTTCCAAATAGTGCTCCTGCTTGCAAAAAGAAAAGAAAAAGAGATTACTATAGTGCCTAGAAGCAGAAATCTTTTCATTCTCTTAAGTCCCAAGAGAAATAGATAGAGAGTCATGTATGGTCCAATGAATCTAAATGACATTTTTGGTCTTGGTTCTTATCTATTCAAGTTACTGTGGGTGTATTGGGGAAATTTTATTCATATTTATAAAGGTGAAGTGTCAAGACACATGGATTGGTCAAATGGTCAAAGAATCATGATTAGTCACGAGACAGGGGTTACAAAAAATATGAGCAAAAAGAGATGAAGAGGCACGGGACATCAATTAAGAAGCACAACGCCCATACCTATTTAAGCCATTTATATCCGAGAATTAAAAGGAATGAATCTGGCCATATAAAGGAATGCTGATGCGACATTTGATGGGCATTAAATACTAAATACGTTAGAGAATATATTTCTTATGTAATGATTGTGTAACGGAGCATTTAATACATTTAATGTCTCATAATAACCTCATTATAATTAGAATAGAACGGATATCTTCAAAAGTAGCTATAAAAAGGGAGATATACGATCAGTTGTGGATAAAAAATATTGGGGAATAACATATTGATTTATTTTCTCTTAATTATCATTTTACTCTCCTTGATTACTTCTTTTCTCTACATTTTCTTGATTATCAATAACCCGAGTTCTTCTAAATTCTAGCTTTGACTGAAATTCTATTTTTTGGTTAAACAAATTGGTTCCGTTGCCGGGACTCTGATAATCTATTTCCTCTTTGCTTAACTTTCCTTGTTACATCAACTATGTCGAACAACAATGACAACATCCAAGGAAATCAAGAAAACCAGACAAACCAACAACTTCAAGGAGATCTGCGAGACAATAATGCATTAGTTCCTTCTCCACAAGGTTCTCCACGACGATCTCGTGAAGGAACTCCTGAGGGATCTCACACAGATGGACAAGCTCAATTTGAAAATGCTGAAGCTATGGATGAAGCTTTACAAAAACTTATCGCTACTCAAGTCAACAAGGCTTTACAAGCTTTTGTTAGTCAATTACCTGCTGCTCCGCCCACACCTGCTCCGAATAACAATACTTTGGAGGATCCTCATTCTGGACTGGTTAATTCAGGTAGCGGTGGAATCCCCAGTGAAACACAGGAGGGAGAACCAGGTAATCCCGTTAATTCTAATTTACAAAGTCTAGTACTAACATTGCAGAAACAGCTCAAGGAGCAAGGTGACCGCATAGAGCAAATACCCGGGGTATCGCCCGTGATCAAAGGGGTAGATGTGGATAAATATTTTCAACAGCCCTGGAAGCTAAGTGCAGCCCCTCTTCTAATTCCAAAGAAGTTCAAGATGCCTGATATTCCAAAGTATGATGGGACAACGGACCCGCGAGATCACGTTACTGCATTTACAACAGGCGTCAAGGGCAACGACTTGACTAAGCAGGAGATTGAATCAGTCTTGGTCAAAAAATTCGGTGAAACGCTCACCAAAGGAGCGTTAACATGTTATTCTCTTTTACCTAAAAATTCTATAAATTCTTTTGCTGAGCTTGCAGATTCTTTTATCAAAGCACACTCGGGAGCTCAAAAAGTTAAAAAAAGAATGGAAGATATATTCAAGATCAAGCAAGGGGACTCAGAGTTACTGAGAGAATTCGTGGACAGATTCCAACGGGAAAGAATGACATTACCACGGGTACCTGACAATTGGGCAGCCATAGCTTTTGCAAGCAATTTGAATGAGAAAAGTTCAGAAGCTACGAGGCGACTCAAGGAAAGCCTTCGAGAATTTCCAGCAACAATGTGGAATGATGTTTACAACAGATATAGTACGAAGATGAGGATTGAAGAAGATATTATTTCACGACATAAAAAAGAAGAAAAAGTAAGCTTAAGGCGTGCAAAAAATGAAAAAAGATCTGGTAAAAACAGGTACGAGCCATATATGAGACCTGTGGGAAGAGACTCACGATCAAAGCCAGACAATCAGAGGTACGATCATAGATCAAGGAATAAAGAATCAGTCTCGACCTCAAGATTTGGGAATGATCGAAACACACGCGGATCACGAGACGNATTCAATCTTGCACTTAATTATTTGATTGCTTGATCACCAATTGAATACTATCTACGAATCTAGGATTGAACTCGAGAGAGGGAATTCTAGATTGCATATAAGATTGAGTAGAGCAAGATCTTAACTCTTAGGGGGAGCGAATTTGCGGTTAGGATAGGAATATACCTAATCGCCTTGCTTGGTTATTATACGGGAATTATAATTGCGTTCTTGTTAATCCTAATTCCATAGGAATATAGGCGTTAGGTTAGCTTGAATAGGCGAGTTGTACTTCGGGAGAAGGCTATGAGCAATATTAACCCTGTCAATCAATAAACAAGATAAATTAATTAGACGATTTAAGTGGAAAACTCAACGGGATTGTTAGCTAACCCATAGCTCTAGAATATTCACTCATATTGAATTCGTCTCTGTAATTCGCCAACTTATTTTCTTTGATCTCTTAATTTGTTACTCTAGTTTAATTTTAGTTAAATATTCATACGTTAGGATTCGCTTGAATAGATTAATTGTTTGGTTTAATTTAGTTGATAGTTAATCACAAGTTCCTGTGGGTACGATATCTGGACTTACAATCCTATATTACTTGTCGACCACGTATACTTGCGTGTGCGTTTGGGAGCAACAAGTTTTTGGCGCCGTTGCCGGGGACTTAGAAATGAACTATTCTACTAGATTGGATTTTTACTTTTTGCCTATTCATGTTTTTATTTTTT